ATAATCCTCCAGTTTTATTATCTATTGCTGTTAACCTCTTGTTGTGCTTTATTAAACTATATTAAAGCTTCAAGGCTCAATGCTGGCTAGTAAAACAAGGACTTGTGAGTTATCTGCTGCTGTAGATTCGTATCCACAGAGCAATGGTTAGCGGGTCGGATTGAGGATTCATTACATTCACTTATGTGTTAACACCCTTGAGTATGAATCTATCTTAGGTGAATCAATAAAATATGTCGAATATTTTACATACAGAGGAAGCGAAATAAATTCCACTGAAAGGGATGTGAAAATTTGCATAGCTACAATCTGGGCCGCTTTGAATAAAATGAATGTAATCTGGAAACCTCATCTGTAGAGTCGGTGTTAATGTATGGTGCCACCTCTTGGACATTAAATAAAAGCCTACTGTTTAAGCTTGATGAAACCTACGCTTGGATACTGAGAGCTATACTTAACATCTCTTAGAAAAAACATCCAACTAAATCACAGCTCTATCGTGTCATCCCTGATATTTCTACAATCTTACGTGAATGCAGAATCTGCTTTGCAGAACAATACTGGCTGGTAAAACAAAGACTTTCGAATTATCTGCTGCTCTAGATTCGTAGCCACAGAGCAATGGTTAGCGAGTCGAATTGAGGATTCATTACATTCACTTATGTGTTAACACCCTTGAGAAAGGTATAAATCCATCTTTTCTCCCCATGCCTATGGATAAAAAAAAAACAAGACAGACTGGGTTCTATAGCCTTGGGTGGCAGCTAATCTAGGAGAAGGAAACTGAATTCAGTCCACTTGCTGCCTTGTAGGTCCTGTCTTTTTAGGCAAAGGCTTGAAGAATGTAACTTCAAAAAACAAATCCACCTCTGAGAGGAGGGACGGGGTAATTTTAACATCCCGGTGCAAAAGGAATTGGCAAGCCATTGACCTATTCGGCCTTGAATGTCAACATGAACCACAAATGTGAAATGGAGGGGAGAGGTGACCACAGGGGGACCTCATTGTAAAAAAAGGCATGCGCTTCATTTTATATTCTCGTTGTTTTCACAACTTCTCGTATTTTTTTTATCCTGTCCTATATTGAAATGGGTTTCATTTCTTTCTTTTTTTCTTTTACCCAGTTGCGTTTCTGTATCTAATGTTTCCTTCCTTTCATTCTTTCTTTCTTTCTTTCACACATTTGCATATTTTTTGCATCTTCTGTTTCATTTCCTACTTTTTCTCTTTCTTTCTTTCTTTCTTTCTTCCTTCTTTTACTAAGTTGCGTATTTTCTGTATCTTCTGCTTTCTTTCTTTCTCACAGTTGCGTATTCCCTGCATCCTCTGTTTTCTTTCCTTTTTCTTTCTTTCTTTCTTTTTTCTTTCTTTCTTTTTTCTTTCTGTATCTTCTCTTTTATTTCTTTTTTTCTTCCTTTCTCACCATTGCATATTCCCTGAATCCCCTGTTTTCTGTTTGTCTTTCTTTCTTTCTTTCTTTCTTTCTTTCTTTCTTTCTTATAATTCTATGTTTATTCTTCTACCCTCTGCTTCATTTTCATCGTATTTCTTTCTTTTTTTAATTCTTTTCGACAAACTTCATGTCATTTCATATATTTCTTTATTCTTTACTTTGTTGAGTGAATTCCAACTCGTGATATTGCATACCCTCTGGGAACTTCTCACAACGACAAGCATCCCGTTAAAATTCAAGAGAGTTGAAAATGAGATTAATTGCCTTAAGGGGAAAATTGTTTCTTTCTTTCTCCATATTTGTTCATTTTTCATTCGGCAATATTATTCTTTTATACCGATCTTCTATTCACTGATTTTTTTTCTTCTCTTTGTTACAATTTTTCTTTTATGCCATCGTCTCCATGTTTAGTGAAAGGCTCAGCTTATCTTACTCAACGGGGAAGAGAAAAACAGACCTTCTAAAAGGCAGAAAGCATAGTTAAAACAATATTTAAAAAAAGAAATTACAACTTATTCCCTGAAATACGAATAAACAAACAAATATCATCACATCACGTACCTTCTTTTTCTTCGAAGAGTAATATTGATTGAACAGAAAAACTACAAATAAAATGAAAAAAGACGTCAGCCATTTTTTATATCATCTGCCATATTGAAATAGTCACGTGACTGACCCTTTTTGTTTTACGCTTGGAGATTTTTTCTTGGTAAACTTTTAAAACTATTACATTATTTTTTGTTTTTAGATTCGACTTACATTTTGGAAAAATAGTTATAATTTATTTATTTAGTTATTTTTTGGACAAATAATTTTTTGGTGGAATTTTTATTTTTTGGAAATCGTGAACGTTATTTAAAAAAATTGAAACGGTTTAATATTTGGTCTGTGACAGACATTTTAGACTTTGGCGTTTCATCTTTATTATGTAAAATTTCTTAAAGGACGGCTTTGCCATCTTTAAATGACGTGTTTTGTATGAGTAACATGTTCGTTTAATAATTGTTATTTATTTATTTCCTTTCTTTTTAAAGATGGTGAAGGTATTTTCTCTGTCGTTACCAAAACTGTGCATTTTGCTATTAAAATACAATTTTGACCCAAAGCCCCCACGTTTTGGATCTTTAAAGAAATTTATCTTTCAGAAATTAACATAAGAAAACTTTATGCTAAAAAGGAGGCTTATTTTTATTTTTCTTCTGATTTTTTCATATATTTGCCTTAAGTCTATCGTAGTGGCCGGCGTTTATGAATGGAGAGTAAGTGACAACAGATCTTCCACGAATTTTCTCAGCGTTTTCGCATATCTCTGTTCTGTCATTGTTTGGACTGTTTCAGTTCTTTGTCAAATTTCCTAGGCATCATATTTTGATTCTAGTATTTTTGAAAGGTCCAAAGTATGCTATTTAATATTATCATGACTGAAACTTTCTCGAGATCCTGAGAAAAATCCTGGTATTTTTAAAAATCTTGGGGGCGGGTGACACAGCAGCAGCCTTTAGTTACCAGTTTTTTCTTTTTGTTCATGATAACAACTCCAAGTCGCAGCTTTATTTGACTAATTGAACTTCAGCGTTTTATTTTATAGTAATGGGTGGGTATAAGCGAGAGGGGAGATGGATGTGTTTATTTTATTACCACAGCGTTTATTATTATTATTGTTGTTATTTTTATTGTTGTTGTTTTTATTTTTGTTTACAGTGAGGGTCAAATTTTACAAGGCCTGGGGGGCACTCGAGCTAGAGGATTACATTAGGAGACGATTTGAGTGTATAGATGAGGGAGATAACGATTAACCCTAGCTTTAAATAGTTTAAGATTGTAGGGAAACATCCTGTTAGGAGTCGATTCTACAGGGCGGTGGTTCGTGGGAAGAATCTGCCCGGGTGAAACTTACTTCTCACCGATGGAATATGGAGGGAATGTGAGTGATTTGCTACTATATGAGTGGCATGTAAAGGTATACCAGGTACATGCCTCACAGACAAATATGCGCTACAGGTCAAATGTTTTGATAAAAGCAGCACATAACCGTACAGGTTGGGCCCGGTTAGAAATACATTCCGATGGAGTAAACCAGTCGGTTAAGAATATTTCCCATTCAAACAAAACAAGGCATTGAGTATGGGAAAATGAATGCATAATTTATTTACATATATACAAAATTATTAAATTCCATCTGTTGCTGTTGCTAAGCCAACAGGGAGAGACAATGTTGAAATTAAAAGTGAAATAGACATTGGTAATGGTTGTTGTCGTCGGTAGCGTTTATCTCCCAGTGCATCGATGTTGACATCAAACACTGTCTTTGATCTGTGTCCCTAACTCTCTCTCTCTCTCTCTCTCTCTCTCTCTCTCTCTCTCTCTCTCTCTCTCTCTCTCACACACACACAAACACACTCTCCCTCTCTCACTCTCTTTGTTATGCAGTGGTTTCACAGTGGAGGCTTGTATTTGTACTAAGTCGGTCCTAAAATAGGTTCGACGTACAAAACGTTAGGAACTTGATATAATAGTTAATGACGCAGCAATCTAGTTGTGGTGGCTGATACTTTAATATCCGACTAACGGTCGTCCGACATCGACTGACTGACCAACTCTCTGCGCGACTCCGCGACTGCTGCTACTACTTCTACTTATTATAGGTGAAGAGTCTATTAAATATAGAATAGGTGTGTTCCAGTATATATATATATATATATATATATATATATATATATATATATATATATATATATCAGCGTGCCGGTGCTGACATCAAACGCTAATCTGTTTCGGGTCTGTTTGAATTTGAGTATATATAACCGTCAATCGGCTCGAAATTAAGGTTTTGGTTTTTCGAGCGGGAGTGGATCTAACTGGTCATAATATAGTGCTAATTTTATTTTGGTTAAAGCGGATGTATGCGTTGAGCCGATGCGCAGAAGACGTATTTACGCAGTCTGCTTTGGGTCGTCGAATTCCGTTCCTTATCACTAGAGGTGATACTAACATTAGTTTTGTCACCAACCTGTCACGAATAATCCGAGAAAAGTAGTCGACTATAAATAACTGTCGTCGTTAATAAAATAACTAAATGGGTTGACATTATTTTTCTGCATTTACCGACTTTAATTTAATCTATTAATATTAATATTAGTTGAAGATTTGCGCGCGTGTCTAACCCTTTATCTGTATTTCCAATTTTCTCGTTAAAACATTTTGTTGTTATTATTGTTGTTCGGCAAATTGGAGCTGTTTGTTGCGAGCGGTGAAGGCCATTAATATCATAAATGCAACGACAGACGAGAAGTAGGATGTGAAAGGATGTATGTACGAACATGAATATGAATGAAGAGAGTCGAAAAGAATGAATTTAGTAGGCGTATATGTATGTGTTTGCCGGTGTACACAGGTAGAAATGAAAGAAAAAAAGGAAAGAATTGTCAAGAAATAAATAAAGGAATTTATTTTTAGAAAGAAAGAAAAAGGAAGTCTCTAAAATAGGGAAGGCCGACGGGTGAAAAGAAAGAAAGAAAGAGATTTGGTTCAAAGAAAGAGATTTGGTTCAAAGAAAGAGAGCAAGCAAAAAATAAAGAAAAATGAGAGAAAGAAAAGACAATGAAATAAAGAAAGACAGAAACAAAGAAAGTCGTTTAGTAAAAGAAAGAAAGAAAGAAAGAAAGAAAGAAAGAAAGAAAGAAAGAAAGAAAGAAAGAAAGAAAAATAAAATATCTAAGAAAGAAAGCGCGAAATCTCTGGTTAAAACGTTCTTCCTGAAAAAAAAGAAAGCAGCAATGAAAGAAAGAAAGAAAGAAAGAAAGAAAGAAAGAAAGAAAGAAAGAAAGAAAGAAAGAGGAATACAAAGGATAGAAAAATCAACTGGAGACACTAAAGAAAAACTAAAACCTAGAAAAAATTCATATGATAATGATAATGTTCTAAGCAAAAGTAAACGTGGGGTTGAAAGTTGGTATTTATCAAAAATTCTATATTTCGTAAGAAGGTATATTTAAAATAAAAATACCACCAAACAAAAGAGAAGTAAGAAAAAAAAAGGATGAGAAAAAGAAAAAAGAAAGAGAAGGAAGGAAAAGACAAAGAATGATGGCGATCATAGAAAATTTAAAGAAATAAAGACAATCGTAAAGAAAGGAAAGTTCGAAAAACAGAAAGAACTGAAAAGAAACGAAACGAAAAAAGGACAAAGGAAAGAATAGATAGGCAAATAAGAAGCAGACAAGTAGATAATATTATTGAATTCGGTAATTATTCTTTTGAGGGAAGGAAAGAAAAAAGAAAAAAAAAGAATTTTCAAAAGTGGGGGAATGTGGTAAAGGATGAAAGGAAACGAGGTTGATTTTTGAATGAAATAAGATTTTAGATTGGACAGGAATAACGGTTTAATTAAATTCTGCATATGGCGAAAGAGACGCAAAGAATTGGTAGAAGGCTTTGAAACCTCCTAAGAATATCTGGAGCCTCAAGTTCTGTAGTTTCGATTTATGTATTTATTTTTGTTATTTTATTGAATTTTTCTTTCACTGAAAACAATTTTCGAAAAACTGAAGAGGAAGGCCAATTACGAAGAATAGAAAAATTGTGCAGCAAGGCAAAGAGGTTTTGGGCGGCAGCAGGTGCTGTCGGGTAGAAATGTGTGGCTGATTTAGGAGTCAGTTGTAAGTTATCGGGTAGGAAAGGTAATAGGTTCTAAGTGAAGTTGCCTGTAACTACAAAGAAAGAGGCCAATGATTACGAAAAGAGAGAGAGAGAGAAAAAAAAGAAAGAAACTGAAAGACGGCGTGAAAGTACAGGTAAAAGAAAGAAAGAAAGAAAGAAAGAAAGAAAGAAAGAAAGAAAGAAAGAAAGAAAGAAAAGAGAGAAAGAGTTCTGGTTAAAAGAAAGACAACAAGCAAAAAATAAAGAAAAAATGAGAGAAAGAAGAGACAGTGAACTAAAGAAAGACAGATATAAAGGAAGTCGTTTAGTAAAAGAAAGAAAGAAAGAAAGAAAGAAAGAAAGAAAAATAAAATCTGTAAGAATGAAAAATAAAATATGTAAGAAAGAAAGAAGGCGCGAAATCCCTGGTTAAAATGTTCTCCCTGACAAAAACGAAAGCAAGAATGAAAAAACGAAAGAAAGAAAGTACAAAGAAAGAAAGAAAATGTTTCTCGTAGAAAAAAAAACGAAATCTCTTAGAATAGGATAACAGATGCTTTAATGATATCAATCTTCTTAAATATAGTGTTCTGAAATGCAAGTGCGTCTGAATCTACCCTGGTGAATCTACCCCGAATCTACCCTGCTGAAATGAGTTTGATCTGCCCGTACGTTTCTTACGCCGTTATAGACGTCACATAGATTTTCATGTCCTTGATATAAAAGTTAACTCTGACCTTCAACCTACGAATGATTTTGTTCCTCATAAATACCGTCCCAAAATATCATAGAAGAACAGAATGAATGGTTGCCAGCAAGAAAACATCATAAGACGCGAACCATGAACTTGAGATATCAAAATCAAGCGTGGAGAAAATACCTGGGAAGTGTTTTAATAGAAGACGAAAAGTTTGACACTGAAATCGGAAGGTACATCGATGTAAGTGATGTGCAACTTTTAAGGAAAATGGCAACAAAATAGACGCTTATACTTAGAATAGAAAGATGTTGAAATTTATTGGAAACGTAATGAAGAAAGACAGCTTGGAGAATTTAACACTTATAGGATATACTGAAGACATTTGAGAGAGAAGAAAACAGATTCAAATGGATGTCAAAACAGCGACTCATCTCAATGGAGAAATGCATCAAAGCTCTCCAAACTCCTCGCCTTTGTCACGACCATCCACCAACGATCTCCCTGCCCAATCTTTGAAGTCACCAGCAAAGGGTCACCTTGTTCTTCCATTTAGTCTTCTGCCATCGATGCGTTCATCCAGGATGTGAGTGCAGACCTGGTCCGTGACATATATTAGAAGATTTTCAAATATGAATCTTTAAAATATTTTTTGCCAATTAGAGTACTTTCGACATGGTGCTATGATTAACAAGCTTGTATCGCTTGAAGAATTAACTGACTAGTGAGTTCGTGATCCATACTTTCGTCTGTATGCTATTCCAATTATTATAAGAGGTTTACCCTTGTTGAGGCACGGTGGAGTAATGGATAGCGGCTTGGATTGAGGCGTCGAATCCATTACATTCACTTACGTGCTAATATTGGGAAAGGTATGAATCCTCTTCTTCTCCCCAACCCAGCTATGGATAAATAGAAGGACAGATGACAACTAGTCTAACGCAGAAATAAATGGCAACCTACTGCGGGGAAAATCTGCGCCGTCAGTCATGTATCGAAAGATACATGGTCGCCAAAGCATGTATCACGCATGGCACATAACTGACTCGCCATTGTCGAAGCACACATTATGCCGTTAAGGAAAGGATCGTTCGTCTTGACTCAAGGATCCCGACTACAGTCAAAAATTATCAGGACTGATGTTATAAAAGGAAAAGTACAGTATATATCAACTCAGAATTTAATCTCCTTTGAAGTAATCCCCTTCTGAAGATTCACGCTGTCGTTTCCATTGATGGAAGCATTCTTGGAACTCCTTTTTTGGGAATAGCAAGCAGATTCCTCATCTAATCCCTTGAAATCTTGTTCCTTTCTAGTGGGATTTGAGTTTTGAAAACGAAAATCTCGCAGGGGGGCGAGATCTGGGCAATATGGTGGTCGTCGGTCATGGGGAACATCGTGCTTGGCTAATAACTGCTGTACAAGCCATGGTCACTCATGGAAGTGTTGATACGACCAAACTCGACACAGTTTCATTCCAAGCACTGCTACAGTTACCGGAAATGAGCGTGGACGTTATAATTTAATACAACAGAGTTCAAGGTCAATTTGTGCCAAGCGGCTCTAATTATCAATACTCGTTTACTCCTGCTATTAAAATTAGGCAAAGTGTTGTTAAATCATTAATATAATCAGAAGCTTTTCACGTGTGAATATTAATATCTTCTAATAATCATATTCATTAATCATTAATATTCATTAATAATTAATATTCATTAATTGTTTCAACAACAGCAGTTGAATCTTTTCGTCCACTACATAGTTCGCCAGGGTTGTGAATAAATATGGGTTTGAATTCAGTGATATACTTCTCATAGACTTAAAATACTTATATACCCTGTCTGTCCTACTATGTAACCCATAGCTGAAAACTATTATATTAATAAGTAGTAATCCTGGATATCAGATTATGACGTAATAACAAAAGAAATCGAAAACCCACTATATAATTAAAATTATATATTAATATTGACTTACTGATTCTGAAGAAAAGATGGTATATTTTTTATGAGTCTTGACTTTTATTACATTTTCACATGTGGATTTTTCAATATATTTTCCAATTACTAAAATTATTATATCGTGTTGGTAGAGGTGGGAAAAATTATTTCATTACTTAATAACAATAGACAACGAATCCAGTAAAGTAAGTTATATTAATACTAGTTTACTGATGGCTTCAGAAATAACATCATATTTTAACTCTTTACTACGAATAGGTTTTTCTCATATTTTCCAATTATTCCACGACCGGCATTTTGATTTTGAAAGTTTGCCGTTGTCATAACATGGGTAATAAATTTGGCACTGAAAAACGTTAGATATTACCGAAAATATACATATATGCTTGGCGTGTTTTATATAGAGATTATCGTATTTCCAGGTGTATAAAACGCATTCAAATACCCTTTACCGGCCTTAGAGCAACAACTCTTAAGAAGAAGACTTGAAGGTGAAAAACAGCAAAAATGACGTATATATATATATATATATATATATATATATATATATATATATCAAGATTCTTATATGCACTTATTTTTATCATATCCTTTAACAGATATATTTTTTATCTGATGGTAAAGTTATATCTATTTTCTCGGTCCTGAGCAGGCATCTCGGCTTTAATCGTTTTTTCCACCGCCGTAACGAAGCTTCCCTGTGTCATTTTTTATAAATACATTCATGGTAATTGTTCTGATTAACTTTTCTGTATGGTACTTAGACATCATGGAGTTTTAAGCGCAGGACGGTGGAGTAAGGGATAGCGGCACGGATTGAGAAATCGGAGAGCCGAGTTCGAATTTCAGTCGTATCCATTGCATTCACTTATGTGCTAATATCTTTGGGAAATGTACGAATCCTCTTCTTCTCCTCTCAGCTATAGGTAAATGGCAGGAAAGGTCTTAGATGGCAAGTAATCTACCGCAGAATGATAACCTACTAAGAAAAAAATCTGTCTCGTCAGTCTTGTATCGAAAGATACATGATCGCCTAAGCGTGTATCATGCATGACACATGACTGACTAGGTTGGCAACTTCCTCTCATCATTTTACAGTTAAAATGGCTAGATGTAACCGTAAGTTCTATGCTAACAGTTTCTTCCCTTGCACTTCTCGCTTGTGGAACTCTCTTCCTGCTTCTTGCTTTCCAGCCAACTTCTATTTTCAAAAACTTAAATGCAATGTCAATCGTCTTCTTAATTTCTTTTCTTTTATTGTTCCCTCCCCTTAATAATGTTTTTCTCTCTTATTTTTTCACGCTCAGCAACCCCTTGCTTCTCAGTGGCTTCATTGCCTCGCTTGAGGTGAAATGATTTTTTTGGAAAAAAGGCATATTTGTAGATTTTACTTAAAATATATGATCAGTAAGTTTTAATCTAACAGACACCAGCGGCTCTAATATCTATGTATCTCTCTCTCTCTCTCTCTATATATATATATATATATATATATATATATATATATATATAGGTAAGATAAAAAACAAATACACGTTTATAAATATTTCATTTTTATTAAACCTTCATCAGAGACTGAGATATGAAGAAAATGAAGAAACAAATTATGTTATTTGTATTTTTGTGTTGTTTCATTTTCAAGTATAAAAATAAATTAAAAAATCTACCAGAAATTATAAGTTTTTGTAAAAACGCCGCTTGTCTTAGGAAACGGCTGTAGTGGTAATCAAGACGTCAAAACGAATGCAGTGTATTATTATTATTATTATTATTATTATTATTATTATTATTAACCAACATCTTTGACGTTACTCTTCCAGTACTTTACAACACTTCCAGAAGAATACAATTTACACAAAAGAAAAAGAAAAGACAATGCTTAAAAATATTTTGACAATTCTGCAAGTCATAGTGAAAACAAGAACGTATTGTCTCGTTGGTTACCATGGCAAATGGTTTTATCAACAGAACCGGTATTGTACATAGACATTATAGTTGTGTATTCTTTATACGTTTATGAATTCTTCTTTTATGTACTACTTTGAGAAGACAGAGGTACTCTAGAAATATTGTTAAACATTTTTAAACACTGTCTTTTTTTCTTTCATTTTCTCTTGTGGAAATTGAGCTCTTCTGGAAGTACTGCTTCTAATACAACTATTATTATTATTATTATTATTATATCATTATTATTATTATTACTATTGCTGTTGTTGTTTCAGCGTTAGCTTTTCTTCTAGACGCCATCATCATCAGTGATGGTGTTCCGAAGCTTGAACAGATAGGGGTGAGGCTTCGCAACCACCAACAATAGATTCGCGGATCCAGATGCCAAAATATAGGCTATAGATTCTAGCGAGCTCAACGAACCCATACAGCTAGGGGTCCAGGCGCTACAAGCTCACCCGAATCCCAATTTTGAAATTCGACTTATTACAGCGGAATTTTGAGGCCATATGAAATGGGTATTAGAGTAGATTCCAAAGCCATATATTAGATACTTCAACCGATTTGCATATGATCACTAAAATGGCCTTATTTTAATAAAAACCACTTAAAAACAAAAACATCGTGTTGAAAAATTAATCTTAAAAAAAGATGATTCAGGAGCTTCTTTGTGATTTGGTTCCTTGAAGCATAAGGTTCATTAGTCTCATAGTAGATCAGTCTCTTACAATTCTTTCTTTCGATCACTCTCTCCGCTTGAATCCACGAATCATCGTTCGCAAATTATTTGCGGTATGACATTTATTTTTCTCAACGCAGTCATCAAGACAATAAAGATGGCTCTACTAGTGAAGATAATTTGGGCACTAATTTATTTAAGAATCTCCAAAGAATAGTTGTATCCCTCTCTATTAAAAACTACTAGTTTTTACGGCCCTTATGCCTCCTTCCTTGTGTGGGTGTCATCTAATTTCTCGGATCAAAAACACTGACGAAAATATATGATTAAGTAAATTCTCATTGAGATCATTTCTAGCAATATATTTTCAAAGGTATTGGTAAAAATTAACCTTTTCCTTATAAGGAATTATTAAGCATTTGGTGATTGAATAATTAACTCAGTGGGTTCCCAACCGGGGGTCCATGTAATATTACTGGAGGT